TGGCTGTGGGAACTGGGCAGGACAGAAACCCCAACAAGAAGGCCCTCATGTTACAAGTCTTCCTGTAGTGGGCCACTGGCTTCTGGTGTTACTTTGCTGCTTTTCAGGTTGTTGAATGAATGTTTGCATTGTCACCTACCCATCTCTTCCTCCAGTTGGTGCCAGCAATGTATTTGCCTCTTGGTCAAATCCTTGCAGTGGCTGTCTATGTCTTAGGGAGCCACTCAAGTCTCTCTTGGTCCACTGTCTTGGTCCATTGTGTGTAGTTGAGGTTCTCTGTCTGCAGCTGCAGCTCTTGGTCTACTGTGCAGTAGAAGCCTGTGGTTCAGAGTTCCTCTGAGGTTGCAGGGGTTGGATGAGTTTGGGTATGGAGTGGGCATGTAGTTTACAGGGTTCAAACAATAGACTGGTATTATTTTTAATCAAAATCATTATAGAGTACAGATTAGGTAGCACTTCACATTAAAAATGCAAAGTATTCAAAAATATTTCTGGATTAGAGAATATCTACTAAACAGAGAAATCTACATGGCAAATAATTCTTCTAAGAAATCCAAAGGGATTTGAAGCAGAATAATAAATTTATGACTCTTCAAAATTCTTTGATTATTCATGTTAATTGGATGCATAAATCTAAAGGTACATCATTGAAGAGAATGAGATAATTCTAAGAATGATGACTTACCATTTAAATATTAATATTTTGCATGAAAATTTTATCTCACAGTGATGAGATAAAATCACTGTGAAAGGAAAAATGTTCCTAGGGAGAACATAATCTCAGATGGCAGGAAGATTCATGTTGTAGTCGTCTACATCTCCCACAGAGTTACATTTTATTCAGGTTGATATTCTGAGAGCAACAAGTTTCTGCCATTATGAAAAATAACAAAGGAGTATCTATAAGTCACCATATATCACTATGCCTTGCATAGATATTTTGTCTTCTATACAGAAGCCCCTGCCCAAAGTGTTTTGTATCAGCTTTCTGACATTTTTTATAGCTTAGTGAGAATTTACTAAACATAGCTTGTTTGGTCATACTAAACATAGCTTGATGTCAACACAGCCATATTGGAGAGATCATTTTTCAGGGGGATAAAACATGTCTTACATACAGCAATAAAACAGGGAAAGGCTTGTTAGTGTTGTTGCCTGTGTGTTTAGGTATTTCTTTATGAGCAGAAGCATTGAGTGTGTAATTCTTAGCACACTAACTATTACAACATATTTGGGGAAATGAAGGTTTCTAGACATTTTTGTTTGTGTTATTGGAACTTTGCACAAACTTTGACTATGCTAGATCCCTACTTAGCAGCTAATTCAAGAGATGAGTAAATAATCTCAAGTCAGAAGAACATGTCTACAAATATCCACTATGGGGTCATCGTATACAAAGCACTTGAGGCACATATATGGCTTCTCTGAATGTAAAGATTAAATTAAATGATAAAGAATGTACAAATTACTACATAGTAAACATATTTCTCATTCCAGACTATTATATAACAATTTTCAGTGCAGGTATTAGGGAGAATGGAGAACTGGTCTGCTATCATTGCTGATATTTTTGAGGGGATAGAATCCAAGGCCTATCGCAGGATAAATACATTTTCTACCACTGAGTATTATTTACACATATACATCTACCTTATTAGTGGTGCGGGAGAATTGTCTGTAATCTGTCAATCATATTTTAAATAAATGCTGATTGGCCAGGCAGGAAGTATAGGCAGGAAAACCATACAGGAAGTAGAAGTGATGCAATGAGAACAGGAGAATTCTGGGAAGCAGGAAGCACCCTCCACCATTCATGCCCAGATCACTGAAGAGGCAACATGTGAGCTGCCACGCTGAGAATGGTACTGAGCCATGTGGCTAACATAGATAACGATAATGGACTAATAGAAGTTACAAGGACTAATAAGAAGCCTGACCTAATGAGCCAATCAGTTTATAATCTCATGGAGTCCTGTGTGTGATTTTCTATGGGGTATGTTGGCTGTGGGGTGCCAGGCGGGACAGATACACCAACAAGCCAACCCCTCATGTTACATATCAGAATGGCAATGTCATGGACTGTGTCTTCAAATACATTAGACTACTTCCACACTTTTTGCTTGAATCCAGATGGGGCAGAGTTTAGGTGGGAAGAAAGAAGCCCAAACTGATTTCACTTCTAAAACCTGGGATATTATCAGGGCTCAAGAGATTTGTTCAAAAAATTAGTTCTAACTTGAGTTCTAACTCAAGCATTAGAAGAACAATGATAACTAATATTCACTGATCTTCTTATAGATTCATGTGACTCTTTGTATAATAAAATCTTTGTATATGCAATACCTCATTTAAACTTCATGATGGCTCTACAAAGTACATGCTAGTGTTGCTATTATTCAAAAAAGAGATGAACGAGTCACAGAAACGTTGACTGGCTCAAGGCCACAACATCAATCTTGCCAAATCACTCTGCATGATAAACTTAGGGTAGAAGATTAGTAAATTTCAAGACAGTTGCCAAGGTGTACTGAGAAACAAGAAGTCCTCCAAACTATATCAGTATAAACAGGGAGAGTGCCATTGCCACACAAAAAAACTTTGAAATTAATGAAACACCATTTGAGAAGAATAATTATTATACACCCATTATCTTGTTTTGTAATTAAAAATCACAAGCATTGTTTGTTATGAGCCATTATTCATGGTGAGTTTTTCTAGCTAAGGAAAAGATATTTACCTTGATTGTCTAAACAAGGTGACAAGAGATTCACTTAATTAAGCTCATTATAAACTATGCAAAGCTCATTTTTTTTCTCCCCTGGAAATAAATTTAACATACTACCTTAAACCCCATACCTTCTTAAGGCTGTAAGGAGTTTAAGAAGTATACAAAACTATTATTGAGTACAAAACAACTTTCCAAACCTGAATAAGCTGCCAAGTCTTCATTGCGCTATAATAAAAATTCCCAATGATTGCACTAAGTCAATTGCAACCAAATCCCTGGTCCCACATCCAAATTACCTTTCTCCTAGAAATTATCAATACCACAAAGGCATCACTCCAAATATTGCCAGTTTTACAGACTGTACGAGATCAACTTGGGGGCCTGGTTAACTGATTGAAAATAAAGTTAATGGGACTGAGAAGATGACTTAGTTAATTGTTCAAGTATGCAGCACTGAGCTTGATTCCCTTCACTCACATAAATGCCAGGTGTGGTGAAGTGCATCTGTGACCCTAGTGCTGCCAGGGTGTAGACAGATGCTTCCCAAAGGCTCATGGCTGACTAGCCTACCTGAAATGGTGAGTTCCAAGGTCAGTGAGAAATATGAGAGACTCTGTCCCAAAAATTAAAGCAGAAATTTATAGTTATGAAGATATCCAATGTTGACACTTTGTGTCCATTTATGCATGCATGTTCAAATGCACCTATACATCCGGGCATTAAACACACATGTACAAGCACACACACACACACACACACACACACACACACACACACACACACACGGTGGGGGAAGGATGAGAGAAGAGAAAGAGAGAGAGAAAACTACTCACATGGTTTAAGTCAGTGGTACATTATATTGTATTTAGCAATGACAAATGAGTGAAACGCTTAGTATCATTTTTGAGAAACCAAATGTGCAGTCAGCTTTGACATGCATACCTTCATGCTATTGACCAATGACTTTGATGAAACATTGTGGGAAAATATTGGTTATATATTTCACAATCTGTAAAATGTAGAGAGAAATTTGGATTTCCTCTCACAGAATGTAGAAACTTTGAAAGAAGATGAGCAGTTTTGCTTGTTCTGATTTGAAAAAGTAATTCCTCATCCCTCCTTCTCTGATTTAGAGCCTTGGCAGCTTTTTAAAATGAATTCATAATGTCAGAAAGGAAAAGAAGTTATAGTAAATCCCAGTAAAAATAAAAAGCAAAAGTCACAAAATAGAAATTAATGAACTTTTAAGCAGAAGATAAAGGGCTAAAAGCAAAAGGCTGAAAGGTTACATTTTTGTAGGGTGAAGTCTAAAGGCTAAAACCCATGAGAAGAAGCATTTAACATACTCATGTAAATTTGATCAAGAATTGAGCACAAAAGCATGTAAAGACTAAAGCTGGGCATTAGGAAAAGAAAACAAAGACAAATACTTTTTAAATGAAAACTGAAGAAAGCTCAGAGATTAGTGAAACAAAAGAAAAGCAAAAGCGAGGGAAGGAGGATACGTGAGAAACGAACACAGGGGAAGAGTTAGATTTTAGAGACCTTCAATGACTTTAGACAGCATCCAGATGAAATGGGGTTACTGAGTCATCCATGTTTGTCCTTATTACTTAGCGCATGAATCCCACCCAGGACACAAACAGAAAAGTGGAACCATATTGCATGAAATGACATCTAAATAGTAATCTCAGGCTCCACAAATTCTCTAAATCTTATCCACCAGAAGCTTCTTAAGTCACCACTGTCCTAAACCCACGAGCAAAATTTATTGGTTATGATATCACCTCAAAACCTTTATGTGTCATATCTATCTCTTAGTGACTATGTGACATTGGGGGTAGTTTCTCGATCTCTTTAAGTCCAAAAATACTTCTTTGAGCTATAAAAGCAATGGCAATACTAATCATGACAGAGGTATAAAGATATCACTTGTTATTTGGCTTCTTACATTTTTATTAATGAAGATAAAATTTTGCCAGGCAGCAAACAATGTCCATACATGTCTCCATAATTTTGGCATCCACTTATGGGACCAGTACTCATTTCAGGATTGGGATCAACACAAATAATCTCGTTTTGAGATTGATCCTAACCAGAGGCTCACAGAAAATATTTGTCACCGATGGTCTCAGAATGTAACTCATTCCTATTAATCTCAAGTTGCAATTCACTAAAGAAAGAGGGTGAGCAGCAGAGATCAAATAAACAAGCTTAAGAAATAGAGCTATCAAAACAATAATTTAATGATGTCTCTTTTTCAATGTTTCAGACTCCACAACATATGCACATTTTCTGTTCAATGCATTTGATACGGACCACAATGGCGCTGTGAGTTTTGAGGTAAGCTTTAAAGTCCTATTCTACCATTTGATGTAAGACATTTTGAAAGGGATTTTGTTCTTTGTAGTAGGAAAGTTAGGGGGTTGATATTTGGTCATTTTTGAAATGTCCAAGAACACCTCCTTCCTCTTTATTATGTAGTAATGCAATTGTTTTTTTTTATCTTTCCAAAGTTGGATAAATTACAACCTCCATTTAGTCTACTTTCAAATATGTGCTATCTGTTCATGCATGGCTTTCCTCAACAGCAGCATGAGGACAATCCCAGAAGGTTAATGATTGATCTGGTTTTTACTGGTACTTACTATGGGCCAGTATTTGGAAATATAGATGCAATATAGTTAATCTTTGCTGCAAGAGCCTAGTAAATGTAGAGCAATGCAAGATATTTAATACAAAAATAGTTCTGACTTCACCAGTCCTAGAAGCTTATAATGAAATTAAAATTTTCAAGTGACCTACAGCAAAAGCATGTAGTGCTCTTCATGAAATATGGAATATAATAACCTTAATAAAATTATGTTCCCTCTCATATACACAGAGAAAAGGGCACTGAACTGAACAGAGAATTATCAACAAAATAAATTCAAATGGCCAAAAGACACTTAAGGTCATGCTCAACCTCCTTAGCAATCAGGAAAATGCAAATCAAAACAACTTTGAGATACCATCTCACACCTGTCAGAATAGCAAAAATCAGAAACACCACTGAGAGCCTATGCTGGAGAGAATGTGGAGTAAGGGGAACATTCATCCATTGTTGGTGGGAATGCAAACTTGTGCAATCACTTTGGAAATCAGTGTGGCGGCTTCTCAAGTAACTGGGAATCAACCTACCTCAGGACCTAGCAATTCTACTCTTGAGAATATACCCAAGAGATGCCCAATCATACTACAAAAACATTTGTTCAATTATGTTCATAGCAGCACTATTTGTAATAGCCAGCTGGAAACAACATAGGTGCCCCTCAATAGAAGAATGGATAAAGAAGGTGTGGAACATATACACTTTAGAGTTTTACTCAGCAGTAAAAAACAATGACATCTTGAATTTTGCATGCAAATGGATGGAAGTAGAAAACGCTTTACTGAGTGAGATAACCCAGACCCAAAAAAAATGAATATTGTATGTACTCACTCATGAGTGGATTCTAGCCATAAATAAAGGACATTGAGCTTATAATACACAGAGAAAGAAAAGATGATAGATAGATAAATGGATGAATAGACAGATATAGATAGATAGATAGATAGATAGATAGATAGATAGATAGATAGATA